ACAGTTTAGGATTCCACTGTGAACTTAGATCAGTGGTGCTCAAACTTGTGGCTCCACAGGCCAAATGAGTGGTATGTGACTGATCTACAGGCCAGATCCCAGGGTGAACTCCCAGATCAGACCCTGTATAGCCAGCTCAGGCCCTGTGCTACCTCAGCCCATCCCTCTGCAGCTGGACTGGGCTCCATACTGCATCAGCCCAGCCCTGTGTGCCCAGAGTGGGCCCTATACCAGCTCAACCCAGCCCCATGTGGCCAGGTTGGGCCCCATGTGACTGGATGGGCCCTGTACCATAGATTCATAGATGTTAGGGTTGGAAGGGACCTCAATAGATCATTGAGTCTGACCCCCTGCATAGGCAAGAAAGAGTGCTGGATCTAGATGACCCCAGCCAGATGCCTATCTAACCTCCTCTTGAAGACCCGTAGGGTAGGGGAGAACACCACCTCCCTTGGGATCCCATTCCAGACCTTGGCCACTCTAACTGTGAAGAAGTTCTTTCTAATGTCTAGTCTAAATCAGCTCTCTGCTAGCTTGTGGCCATTATTTCTTGTAACCCCCAGGGGCGCCTTGGTGAATAAAACCTCACCAATTCCCTTCTGTGCCCCCATGATGAACTTATAGGCAGCCACAAGGTCGCCTCTCAACCTTCTCTTGTGGAGGCTAAAGAGGTCCAGGAGCCCCAGTCTCTCCTCATAGGGCTTCACCTGCAAGCCCTTAACCATACGAGTGGCCCTTCTCTGGACCCTCTCCAGGTTACCCACATCCCTCTTGAAGTGTGGTGCCCAAAATTGCACGCAGTACTCCAACTGTGGTCTGACCAGTGCCCGATAGAGGGGAAGTATCACCTCCTTGGATCTGTTCGTCATGCATCTGCTGATGCACGATAAAGTGCCATTAGCTTTTCTGATGGCTTTGTCACACTGACGACTCATGTTCATCTTGGAGTCCGCTAGGACTCCAAGATCCCTTTCCGCTTCCGTGCCACCAAGCAGGTCATTTCCTAGGCAGTAGGTATGCTGGACATTTTTCCTCCCTAGGTGCAGCACTTTGCATTTCTCCTTGTTGAATTGCATTCTGTTGTTTTCCACCCATATGTCCAACCTGTCCAGGTCTGCTTGTAGTTGTTCCCTGCCCTCCGGCATGTCTACTTCTCCCCACATTTTTGTGTCATCCTCAAACTTGGACAGAGTACACTTCACTCCCTCGTCCAAGTTGCTAATGAAGACATTGAAGAGTATCGGTCCAAGGACTGAGCCCTGCCCACTGAGTCTTATGCCCGGGACTCCACTGCCCACACCCTTCCAGGTCGATACTGACCCATCCACTATGACTCTCTGGGTGCGACCCTCTAGCCAATTCTCCACCCACCGGACCGTCTCTGCCCATCTCAACCTAGATTGTGTCCCATGCCACCACAGCTCTGTGTGCCTCATACAGTGCATAGGACTATGGGTCTGGAAATTTAGCAGCAGGGCAGTGGCAATTAAGGCTGCCCCACCACCATAATGCTAAATTCTTGGAGCCCTGAGGAGCCCTGTGGGCCAGATGACATGTCTCCATTGACTGGATCCAGCCCACAGGCCAAGGGTTGAGAACCCCTGACTTGGATAATTTGAGCCTATTCTCAACATCATATTAATCTGTAACCTCTTTTCACTGCAAAATGAATTAAGCTGTGATTTCATGTTTCAGTCCATCTGAGCTTTTCAAGATGAGTGAACAATTCTCTTCAGTTTTAACCCATAGGCACTAGTGACAGCACAGTGTTTCTAGACCCTAAGGGTTAATTTCTCAAATAATAAACAGTTCTTTAAGTCATTAGGTTATGGCAGGCTACAATGATTCATATGGGTGCCAATAGGGGACAGAACTGTTAAAGAATTGGTTGAAAACTGAGATTCCTCCATTTCAATATTGCTCACCTGTGTAGCAGTTGGAAGTATTTTAAAAAGGTGAAGGAATGTCTTCATTTTTCTTCTAGGTATTGTGGAGTAAAGCACAGAGAAATATAGTTTTAACCCTACTACGTTGTATAGCTTTCTAAACTCCTATCCTGTTTTTATAGAACATGTTATCAAGTTACTAGGCAATTGATGATTATACAGCAGGCACACAATTTTCTAAAATTGCTTTTCAATGAAAGCTTATAAATATGCTACCCTTCTTCAGTTCAATAGCTTCCTGATAAGTATATTCTCCATGTTTCCCTTTAGATAAAAGCTAGATTCTTTTTTTTTTTTTCTATTTTGGTAGTATCTCACTAATGATCATATAAAAATACTGGTATTCATATCTACTTTTCAATTTAATTTACATCAGGTTTGTAGAGAGGCATTTATCTTTGAAAAGCAAGACTAGATTCTAATCTAATTCTTAGCTCTTCCACCAATTACATTCAATTAAACTTAATAGCTCTATATCAGTTACTACAGTGACGTTAAAGAGAGTTTTACAAGTAGCAGTTAAGAAGTGCGTAAGTTCTGTGCTTCAGCTGAGATATAACTGATAAAAGTTTCAATTACTGTAGTTCTGGTAAACTAATAATATAGAAAGGAGACATTTTGACCCTTTCTTATATTAGGAGAAATCATGAGCTCTAGTTTAACATATTGCTCTGTCAAATAAGAGGAAGGGATCCAAATAGCAGAGAACCAGTGATTAAGGTTTAAGGAGAGTAAATCTCATCACTTTATAAATGATTTAATCCCTTATAGGTCACTTCATTTTAACCAGGGGGCTCAATTTTTCTCCAGTTCCTTTTTGTTCAACTTCTGTCCACAGCAAAGAAGAAACAACAGAGAATTTTGAATTAAAACCTTGTCAAAAGAAGTGGAGCTTCTTGAAATATGTCCCTGCACACTTAAATACTCTGATAACAATATAGATTGCCAAAGCTCTCTTATCAAGAAAGGAAGGATTCAGGGAGAGATTTAAAATATGACTTTATAGTAGCCTCCAGTTTATAATGGGAGTGATCTGAAACACTCTGCTTCTAACTTATCTCTAGTCTTGTAAGAGAGTTTTGTGAGATAGGTCTAAGACCTCTGTTTCTTCTTATCACAAAATAATGGCATTGAGCTCGAAAGTAATACAGCAATGTAAGGAATCCAATGGAAACGTTCAGTTGTATTGCATATATTGGGAATAGCAACACCTTCTGGTATACTTTTTAATAGTCACTCAAATGCCAATATCCTGTGAACTATCTAACTTTTCAAAGCACCTTAAGCACAAATTCCTGTTTTAGTTTAAGTTTTAAATAGTTCGGCACAGTGGTGTTATAATGAGAGTCCATCCAATGAGAGATAACACTTTTCAAAAACATGCAGGTCAGAGTATACACCACCATGAGCCCTCATTTCCTCCCCCTGTCTAGCTTCGTAGATCATAGAAGACTTTAGCCAGCAGTATGTTAAACCAATCCTTAACTGGTTAAACTGGAAGGCAAACAGAAAGTACAACTCCTAGTGCTACCACTTCAAGAAGCAGACATACATATGATTCAAAACCTAACTTTATTTGGTGCTTCGTCACTGAAGAAGGACCATTCAGGAGAGAAAAATATGGTTTTACAAATACAGATATTATTGTGAGCTTGGAAGGAAACATCTGGACCTAGGGTTGAGCCTGTCATGTGTATGCAAACATCTCAAAAGTGCTGGCAAGCAGGTCCAGATATTTACAAAGAGATTATCTCCCTTCTTACACATCTCTCTTTCTGTTACATTTTGGGATAAATCTTATTTCTATCCTGGATTGATATTTTATTTAATTGCTTTGTTATAATACTCACCTGATCCCATACTTCACAGAGATTAGGCAGAGCTACTTTTAATGAGTGCAAACATCCTGCACAGCCCGTTTCCAGTGCCGGAGTTAGCTAAGTCTAGCATAGTTTTAAGGTTCAGGAGAGCATTAAGACTGGCTCTGGTGAAGGGGGTGAGGGGAGTGCTGGGGTTCAAATGCAGAGAATGGGGCAGCTGTACAGCTGATCCCAGAGTCTGGAGGCTCCCAGAGATGAGTAGAGGTTTAGAGTATAAAAATGACCCCAAATTCAGGACACCTCTTCTGTGCAGAAAAGAAACACTTGATGAAGGGACATGATAAGGGGCTTACAAAACACTAAATGGCAAAGAAAAAGGCAATAGGGATTTATTATTGACTCTCAACAGACAGGAACTAGGGGTCACAACATGAAACTAATGGGTAGTAAGTTTAAAACTAACAAAAAGAAATTATTTTTCATAGAAATCACAGAGAAGCAGGGCTGGAAGGGACCTCCAATGGTCATCGAGTCCAACCCACTGACTGGGGCAGGATCAGCCCTGTCCAAACCACTCCACACAGTCCAGCAGCTAAACTCAAGCTAAGACTACCATCCACCTTGATGCAACGTAGACCTAGCACCCTAACCTGCCACCTGCTCAGGAGGTCCAGGGGAAAGGGCTAACCCCTGCTACAAAGGAAGGTAACCCCCACACCCCCTGCAGGCCATATCCATCTGACAGGGGGTAACGCTCCTTCCTGACTCCAAATGTGGCATCGGTCTGACCCTGAGTGGAGGGGCAGGACCCTCTAGCCAGGATTCATAGATTGGTAGATATAGGGTCGGAGGGGACCTGAGCAGATCATCAAGTGTGACCCCCTGCCCTGGGCAGGAATGAATATTGGGCTCACATGACCCCCACTAAGTTAAGCTCATATGACCCGAGTTAGGTAGCTGGATCCTCCAGCTTTGTTCCCAGCCGGGGCACAGGCACAGTCTAAGTCCCAGCCTCTTCCCAGGGTGGCCCTCCTTGCCACTGGAGGTGGAGGAGGCTGGCAAGGTCCTCGAAGGGAGCTGAACTCTTGGCAGAAAGGGGCATCCTGAGCACAGGAAAAGAGGAACTCCTAGCCCTGGAGGCTGCAACCCTCCTCCCACCATCGCCCCCAGCCCCCGCTCCCTTTCTCTGCCCCGTGTGACCCGCCGCGCTCCCAGCCCGCCAGCCCGCCCCTACCCGAGTTGCGGAGCTTGCGGTTCTTGAAGACGGACACGACCACCAGCAGGCTGCCCACGATGTCCACCACGGTGGTGAAGATCAGCACCCCGGACAGCGCCGCCACCACCCAGG